TAATCCACCTCCCTGCCTGTTCTTCTCCAGAAGATACCCATCATACATGGAATGACTGAATTAGAGAACATTTAGTACATCGTCTGTTTGTTTTTTTTAAAAAAAGGAAACTAACAACAACCAGACTCCCCTAAGACTCATCCACTGGTCTAGTGGCAAGAAGCTGCTCTACAATCCCAAAGGAATGTGGTTTGAAACCACCAGATGCTCCTCTGGAGAAGGAGGGGCACTCTCCTCCTGTTCCAATTGGATCTGAATCAACAGTACACAACAACAACAAAAAGAAAAAGACTCATCCACAGTGATCCCACGTGTGCAGAGATGCATTTCACTGGTTTTCTTTTCTTCAAGGCTGTAATCTTTCAAAAGATTATCAGGCCTTTCTTCCATGGCACCTCTGGGTGAGGCCCCCCTAACAAAAGGCAATCACCCTTTGTTAAGCAGTTGAACCCAGAGTTGGAATTACCTCAGTGGCAGCTGGTCCTGATAAGCCCACTGTATATCATTTCAGAGCCAAATCTAGAATCCCAAGTATTCAGACTTCAGGTTCTTTTCCCTGCATCTTATTTGCCTGCAGAATGTGAGGTAGGAAGACTGACTGACCCCAAAACCAAACCCACCACCGCTGAGTTGAGTCCTACTCAGAGTGAGTCTCCGTCAGGTTTCGGAGCTGTAAGTCTTAAATGGAAGGAAATTGCCTTGTCTAGCTCCTGAGGAGCAGCTGGTGGACTGGAACTGGCAACCTTATCATAAAGAGCCTAATGTTGAACCTACTACACCTCAGGGCTCCTTTAGTAGAAGGGAATGAGCCTGAGATTTAAGTAAAAGCTAAGAATAACCCACAAGAGAGGGGCGTGTGTTTGTGTGACACACAAAGGTCACTCTTTAATGAATATAGACTTTTTCTGAGAAGTTGGGGGAAAGGCTACCCGGAAGTTCAGCCCTCTTAGGTAGGGTCCCAGATTTCCCAGGATCGAAGGGTTTCTGTGGATATGGGGCTTTTAGTACAAAAGGTGGGGTGAAAAAAAAAGGTGGGGTGAGTGGATCACCCTGTTTCTGAGACAGCCAAAGACACTGCCACCAGAGAAACCAGTTGATTTCAGATGTTATCTTTGTTGAGATTCAAGGTGGTGCTTATATGAGCCAGTTTTTAAAATTTATTCATTTAAAGGAGAAAATCTACTTCATGAAGGAAAGAATAGTATTTAATCCAAGAAAAGAAAATGAAAAAGAATCCACAGGGCTGTACACCATGAGGATATTGTGGTTGCTCAGATACAATGCTGGCTTCAGATTAGCCTTAATTAAGCTTTAAATTAGATTTTTCCCTTCTTAATGTCTTAAGAAAGGGATATAGAATGAAATGGAAACTCAGGGTAAGAAAGACTTGGGTTTCAACCCCTGCCTTGCTACTTAGGTGAATCTGAGCAAAGTTAATTTTACCTAATTTTCATTCTCTTTCTCCATAAATGGAGGGTAATATTAGCCATCATGCTGGGTTGTGAAGCTTAAATAAGGTAATGAAGTGTGTGAAGCTCACAGCCGTTTCTAGCACAAGAGAACATACACTGCCCAATCCCATACCATCATTACAACTGTTTCTAGCCCATTGTTGCAGCCACTGGGTCAGCCCATCTAATTAGAGGTCATTCTCTTTTCTGCTGACCCTCTACATTGGCCCTGTCGTAATAACATTTAAAAATGTGAGGAAGTCGGGGGGGGGGGGCGGGAAATGTGAGGAAGTCTTACCATCCTTGCTTCTCACAGCATTTTGGCTGCACTCCTTCTAAGACAGAGGTGTTCATTTTCCAGCAGCCTATGGTTTATTCAGTACACTTCACCCAGCACTATTAGTTCAAAATGCATCAGTTCTTATGTCCTTTATTTGATTGTTTTGTTTGTATGTGTGTGTGTGTGTACCATCAAAACGGATCTGACTGGTACAGGAGGAGATTGCCCCTCCTCTAGCACAGCATCTGGTAGATTCGAACCACATACCTTTGGGGTTACAGTACAGTTTCTTGTCACTAGGCCATCAGAGCTCACTAAATCTTAAGAGTCTATGAGGTGATTTGAAAATACCCTGGCCTGGGTCACATGCACCTTGGTCTTCAAAGTGACAGCTTGGCTTTTGAACACTTTTTAGAATTCTGCAGCAGATTTGGCCAGTACAACGCTTCATTTGGTTTCTGACCTAAAGGGTTGCTAGAGTCAGAACTGACTCTACAGCGATGGTTTGTTGGTGCTGTTAGGTCTTGTCAAGTTGACATGTTGTTATGTAACATCTCGTCACCTGTGACCCATAGTGACCCTATGTACAACAGCTCTGAAGCCTGCCCTGTCCTGAGCCAGTCTCACTGCCTGTGACACACCTACCCCCATTGCCTCAGTTACTGTGTCAATCCATCTCACTGAGGATCTTTCTAACTCTGCTTTTTTTCAAGCATGTCTTTTCCCAAGGACTGGCACCTCTTGACAACTTGCAGAACTGCTGTTAGGACTACTTTAACTACACTCAAGATCTTCCCCAAAGCTGCATATTAATTTGTACATGTGTGTAACTACACAAGCTAAGTCCTGCTTGATGCCATAAAGCCTTTCACAAGTTATTAAAGGAAATGCCTCTCCTTCTAATTCCTTAAAAGCCTTTTACCACACATTAACTTATTTACCACAACGCAAGACCTTTATTTTTTTCTGTTGAGGATCCGGCAGCTTGGACACCTTGTGTAACTCGCCCACTGTCACTTAAGGTGATACCATCAAACCCAGCCTGGCCCTTTCTGGGCTCTCCCTCTGCAGTGTATGGAGGAGGAACTGAATTATCGTAACCTAAATCAACTGAACCTTGGGAAGGAAGAAGGGCAGGGCTCAAGAAACTTCCAGAAGTGATCCAAGATGGGTCCTGAGAGATGAACCCTAGACAAAGGGGCGGGGGGAGGCACGTGGAAGAAGGCTTTTAAATGGAGGCAACAAAGCAATGCAAAAGCAAGGTCAGACTTGTCGTCTTTTGCCTCTAAAATGGGACAGAGTGATCGGAATGTGGACGTAGGGCATCCCAGAGACCCTTGCACCACAGCCATTCGATTCTCTTCTCGGTTATTCCTATTTTTCAGGTACACTTTTATTGCCTATACCCCACTTTCAGAGATCCAGTCTGTCTCTGAAATTAATACAGTTGCAGGAGTTACCAACCGGAATCGGCGCAGGTGGATGCTAAGGGCAAGGGGAGCATGTGGGACATAAACAGGAGGGGAAGGCGGCCAGCAGGCAGGATGTCCCAGTTGCACAGTCCATACTAGTCCACCCTCTCGCCACCCACTCTGTCCCTTCAGCGGAATCCTGGCTCAGGAAAAAGGCAGCTGTGACCCAGCAATCTACGTACTGAGTTGCCTCTACCTCTGCCCCCAAGCCACGCCAATGCCACCTGCACTGTCCGTCACACCAACCACTGCGCCTGCGCCGGCTCCTCCCTGCACTGGGAGGAGGGCGTGACTAACCTGGAGACGCAGGGGTTGGCCACTATTCACCAATAAAGAATCGGCATTTTAAGGCACGTGGTCGCAAGTTAACCAATAATATTTTTACTCCGAAATAGGGCGGGACTAGAGAAAAACCGGCAGGCAGATAGGCTGGATTGGGGGTGTGTGTGGCGTGGTCACGTGATCTAAAAAGTAAATACAGCCACGTGCTTCGCTGACCACCTGACTGTTGTGAGTACACGTTGTATTCTCTTAGTTGAACAATTATTTAATGACCGGGTGTGGAGTTCTGGGCACTGTGAAGACACTGTTGGCTTCAATTTGCTTAAATTAAGTTTAGCTTGTTTATGGAGTCTCTGAGTGGCCCGAAGTGTTACGTGCCACGCACTAGTCTGGTACCAAAAGGACCCACTCAGAGCCACATCCGAAGCCAAACCCAGAGTGATCTCCTAAAAGATCCTTGAAAACTACACATGGTATCATGGCAATTAACCGTTGATTCTTAAAAGGAAATCTATTTGAAAATGAAGTATAAAAATATCTGAGCAAACTGATCTGCAGGCAGCTGCTAGTAATCAATTTTCCTATGACCCCACCCTCCCCCAATTAATTGACTCCCCAGCATACTGTTGATTGCCATGGCTAGGGTGTGTGTTCATTGAATATATAATTGGAACAAGGGGAAAATTGGGCCAAAAACCAACTTGCAAAAACGCTCATTTTGCTTCAGGACAGTGCAGGATTGGGCATAATTTCAGTGTGTTGCATCATATGTAGGTAGGTACATCAGCTGGAGCCAACACTGTAGACATCTTCCCTTTTCAAACTGCCAATCCTTCCTTGCCCAGCACCTCCCAGCAGTCGTCACTGTCTTGTCTCTAGCTGCTGGAAGTTTCTCAAAGTCAGCATGCTCCTATCTTATATTTGCTTTTCTAATTAAATTCCCTCCCCTGTTCCTCTCCCATGACTTTGCTGAATTTCAGTGCTAATGTAGTCAGGGAAATTTGGTTTAAGAAATTACCGGTTAAGAATTCAGGTGTTAAGGGTGCTCTGGTGGCTTAGTGGCAAGAAGCTACATTGCAATCCCAAAGGTGCATGGTTCAAATCCACTTGGAAAAGGAGGCGCACTCTCCTCCTGTGCCAGTGGGATCAGACTGGGGGGGGGACGGAGAGAGAGAGAGAATGAATGAGAATGAGAATTCAGGTGTTGCCATCAAACTCATTGCCTTTGAGTTGGAACCAACTCCTAGCTGACCCTAGTGGATTGGGGGGGGGGCTGTAAATAGCATTCGAGGAGATTGCCCATCTTTTCTCCCAAGGAGTGGCTGGTGGATTTGAACTGCCAGAGAGGCACCTCCTTTGGGTTAGACGTGCAACTCAGTACAGACTAGACTCTTGTTTGGCTGTGATCTGTAGACAAAAATCATTCTGCAAACACAATGCCTTTCAATATGGTATTTTAATGGAGCACACAGTTCAGTTGAGAGCAGCAAGAGGTGTCTTTTTCAGAAGAAGCATTTAGTTCTTACAGTACTTGGAGTTCAGGTTCTTGTTTTCTGGGTTGTAGGGGGCCTTTGAAAAGCAGATGGCTGCAGTGCGGTCACAGTTGCAGAGGAAGGCCTCACATTCCTTGTTGTTGCCTGGAGAGAGGTGAGAGAAGAGGACTGAGCTGAAGTGGACCCTGGATTGTACACTTCCAGGCAGGAAGTGAAAGTGTGGAGCTAAACAAGCTATTTCACCGAAAGTGTGATGAGAATCATGTCAAATTCACTATGAGCTCTACAAGACTTAAATGTTAAGACCTGAGCCTTTAAAATCAGATGCAGCTGGGTTCAAATGCCAGCCCTACTATTTACAAGCTGTGTGGTTTGGGGCAAGTGACTGTCTCTGAGCCTCAGCTTCCTCACTTGGAAAATGAGCATAATAAAACCTGTCTCAGTCGCTGGTGTGTAATACGCCACCACAAACAATCCCCACCCACTGCCACTGAATCTCGAATTTCCAAAGCTGTAAATTGTTTCAAGGGTAGACTGGACCATCTTACCTGTCTCCTGCATGTTGGAAATCCTAACCTTTGTGCCTGTAGTCAGAGAGCTCTGGCAGTTTACTGAATAGAGTTGCACTGCCAGTCCAAAGGCAAGTGGTTCAAATCCACCAGATGCTCGAAGGGAGAAAGAGAAAATGGGCAATCTGCCCCTGTAAGGACTAATTTACAGCCTCTGAAAACTGAAAATCCACTGGAGGGTCAGCTATGAGTCAGTTCCAACTTCAGGACAATGAGTAACAACAGCGCGTCTGTGGTTATCATCTCATTTGGGAATGCCAAGTTTTGTTATTCAAATAAGGCAAGATTGTTGTTGTTGTTGTTAGGTTCTGAGAGGTAGGACTCTTAGTGACCCTATGAACAGCAGGTCTGAATCCTATCCTATCTTGTGCCTCCTCACATCTGTGATACACTTGAGCTCACTGAGGGTCTCCCTCTTTTTCACTGACCCTCCACCCTCCCAAGTATGATATCCTTTTCCAAGGAACAGCCTGTCCTAGCAACATGTCCAAAGAATGAGAGGCAAAACTGCCAGCCTTGCCTTCCAGGAGCACTCCAGACACGCCTTTTCCAAAAGAACAGACAAATCTGGGAGGAAGTGTAGCCAGAGTGCTCCTTAGAAGCGATGAGGATGATGATGAGATTCCTCTCACATACCTTGGGCATGTTACCAGGAGGGGGGTCAGTCCTTGGCAAAGAACATCATCAACTTCGAAGAGTGCAGGGTTAAGGGAAAAGAGGAAGACCTTCCACAAGATGGACTGACTGACCATCACGATGAGCTTATTAACCAGAGTGGAGATTGTGAGCATGGCGCAGGATAGAGCAGGGTTTTCTTCAGTTGTGTATAGGATCACTCACTGTGATCCTTAACAATAACGATCTTTATGCTTGCCCTGCCACTTCCTTCCCTAGAGGCCAGGGAGGCGTGGACCTACTGTTGCAGGTGATCTCGGAGCCCGAGCACTTGTAGGAGTACGTATTGGTGTACGGGTTGTCCAGGAGGAAGGTACAGCTGTCCATCTTCTTGGCCTGGTCATAGCACCTGTCATGCTGATAGCAGCACCTGGTGAGAGCGAGAAACAGAACTAAGACAGGAGCAGGGCCCAGGACAGCAGGTCTGCTCTCATTCAAGATCAGGTAGAGGTGACTCTTCGGACATGGCTGCGAGACAATGGCCCGTTGCTGTTGTTATGTAGAGTCAGAACTGACCCATAGCTGACCCTCCAGCAGGTTTTCAGATTCAGTTAATTGCATGGGAGGAGACTGCCCATCCTTCTCCTGCAGAGAACTTGGTGGCATTGAACCTAGTGTCTTTAGGATTGCAGCACAGCTTCTTGCCACTAGGCCATTAGAAAGGCCCTTTAGCTTAAGAAAAATCCAAATCTTTTTGTTATCGAGGTTTCTGATGGTGTAGTTTGTAGGGAGTTGTGCTAGCCCAAAGGCCACACTTTTCTTCCCCTCCCACTGACCCAGGCCATGCTTTTCTGTCAGTTCAAATCCAACAGAAGCTCTGTGGGAGAAAGATGGGTGGGTTGCAGCCTCTGAAAAACCAGCTAGATCGGTTAAGAGCTGGTTCCAATGCCACAATAATATGTTTGAGTTTGTCATAAGTTTGTTGGAAGTTATTGTAAACTAGTTGCAGGAATATAGAGCACTTTGGTGGTATAGTCCACAGCCATTTGGGCTCAAAGCCTCTACTTCCTGCTGAGAATTTGAGTGGAAAGGAAAAATTCTCAACAGGGTATCAAACTGGTTTGAAGCTCTGTTGTAGCTTAGCTATTTATTTGGGAGTTGCTATGCAAACCAACGGGTATACCTCTCCACTAGTGGTTCGAATCCATCAGATATTCTGAGGGAGAAAAATGGGCAAGCTCCTCTCATGCAAATTACAGCCTCAGAATCCCATTGAAAGGTGAGCTATGAGTCTGTTCTAACTCTGTGGCAATGAAGTGGTGGAGTTTTCTTCTGGTTTTAAAGGCATCAATTCTTCTCTGTCACTCTTCTTCATTGTCCAGCTCTCAGATGCATAGCAAGTGATGAAAAGATCATGTCCTGAACCAGGTACACCTTAGTGATCAAAAGGACATCATTGCTCATTAATAATTTGGAGAGGTTTCTGACTGTAGACTTTCTCAGTTCTCTTGACTGCTGAGAACCGAGTGGATTGTGGATCTAAGCTTGGTTGAATGTTGACGATTGCGGCCTCTAGGTGGCAGCATGAGCCCCCATTTGACATCCCCGTGGGTCTTTTCTGGTACATCTAATGGAAAGCACTGGCTGCAGAGTCCTCTTGGAGCATAAATAAATGTTTGCTTATATGGCAAGATTGGTTGAAAAATCTATCAACAATCTGTGTTATGCAGATGACACAACCCTGCTTGCTGAAACTGAGGAGGACCTGAAGCGCTTGCTGCAGAGGGTCAAGGACTGCAGCCTTCAATATGGATTGAGGCTCAATGTCAAGAAGACAAAAGATTCTCACCACTGGACAGGATAGATGGTGAAGAGATTGAGATTGTTCACAACTTTAGTTTGCTTGGCTCCAAAGTCAACACTCTTGGGACCAGCAGCCAGGAAATTAAAAGATGTATTGAGATGGGAAAGTCTGCTGTTAGGGACCTTTTCAAAGTACTGAAGAGCAGTGGTGTCTCTCTGGAGACTAAGGTGCGTCTGATAAAGGCCATGGTCTTTGCAATCACTGGTTATGCATCAGAGAGTGGGACAATGACTAAGGAGGATAGGAGGAGAATTGATGTATCTGAACTGTGGTGCTGGAGAAAAATATTGAGGGTACCATGGACTGCTAAGGAAACAAACAGATTCATCCTGGAGAGGGTTAAACCGGGCAGCTCCTTGGAGGCAAGGTTTCTGGGGCTTCGTCTGACATACTTTGAACATGTTGTAAAGAGGGACCGGTCCTTGAAGAGGGACATCATGCTTGGAAAGGTGGAGGGACAGCACAGGAGGGGAAGACCCTCTATGAGGTGAATTGATTCAGTGACTGGGGTAATCAGGATGGGTGTGTTGGAGACAGTGCGACTGGCACAGGATAGAGCAGGATTTAGGGCTGTTGTACATAGGGCTGCTATGAGTTGCAAGCAACTCTACGGCACATAACAACAACAACAACAACATATGGCAAGAGGGAGAAATATGTCTTCCTTAGAGAATATGCAAATCCCTTTCTTGTACCTCTCTTTGGTACATCGTGTCCACTCCTGCCCCATCCCTCACCTCAGCCGACCCTCTAATTCCCACCTCTCCACCACTCACCTGTCCAAGTCATCCACTGGGGTGCCTGACCCACCCAGGCCACAGTAGCAGCCATAGTTATTGTAATCCAACAAGGGGTCACTGCTGGGGATCGTGCACTTGATCATGTTGCGGAACTGCCATAATGCTTTCGAGCCCAAACCGCTGATGGCTGTGCCCACTGCAAAGAGAGACAAGGTCTGTGTTCAAGTCCCGCGCCAGGTGGTCTTGTCAGTGCCTGGTGGGTCCACATTGCCTGCTCTCTCAGGACCCCCATTGTCCCCTTGCCAGCTGTCTCCTCGGGAAAGAATTGGCCACAGGAACATGGTAAAGTGAGTTTTGGGGAATTTGTTTGTTTTAAATGAGAACATTTAAAAATATTTTGTAATCATAGGACTGACTTCGAGGTTGAGGGCAGACAGAAAAGGAGGGGAGGAATGGTGTATACTGCATTGAAACAGATGAAGGAGAGAACGGTTTAAAAGGGACATATGAATAAGTATTATTGTCATGACAGGAGTCCAGAATGAAGGCTGCACAGTGGAGTGGACTTGAGGGGAGGGATTACATAACAATGAAAGAGTTTTTCTTTTACTTTTCAAGGAGAAGAGTGAATTGGGGAGAGGAGATGAGCAGGGAGAAAAGTGCAACAATGAATGGATGGAAACCCTAAGTCTCTGCAAACTTTCATTAAAATTAAAAAAAAAGGAAAAAATATTTTGTAATCAGGCAAAATCCACATAGTCACTTTGACTATTTAAATTATGAAATCGAGTGAGTTTTAGTATAGTCACAGATTTGTACAATCCTCCCCACCATCCGTCTGAGAACACTTTCATCATTTTATAGAGAAATCCTGTATCTTTTAGTTAGTGTTGTGATTAGACACCATCATATGACTCGTAGCGACCCTATGGATAACAGGTCTGAACCTCGCCCTTCTTAACCTGTGCAGTCCTCAAGCTCTCTGATACGAGAGCCCATTGTTAAAGCCTTCCAGTACCTCTTCACACCCTCAGTCCTGTATAACAAATCTATTTTGTGTCTCCACAGATTTGCATACTGTGGGTACTTTATGTAACCTGAGCCATACAGTACATGGTCTTGTGTGTCTGGATCCTTTCACTGAGAATTATGTTTTTCAGCTTCATCCATATTATGGCATGCATCAGTATTTCACTCATTTTTATGGTAAAATAATATTCCATTATATGACTATATCACATCTTGTTTCTCCAGCCATATTTTTTTGTGGTTATTTGGATTGTTTCCATTTTGAACTTAGTGGGCAAAGTACTGCTGCAAACATGTACTAATTTTTGTATGATTAGTACCATTCCCCCCCCAGGAATGGTGCTAAGCATCCTTATTCATTCATTCACCTGGAAAATCCTTAATGAACATCTACTATGTTCCAGACACTGCCCTAGAAGCTGAAGATAAAACCATGAACATCAGGCAAACATCTCATGGTTAAATAAATGGAGGTAGGGTCATACAGTGGAGTACTATACAGCCATGAAAATGAACGAAGCAGATATCCCTGTCCTGACTGGGAATGACTTTCAGGACAAAATGGTAAAAGGGTAGAGCAGTGTGTCTCATGTGTGGAGATAGTGTGTAAAGTACAAGTGAATAAACGCCTGGAAATAACTATGAATATTAGTAGTCTTCTGCCGGAAAAGAGCATCAGGTTGATGTGGCAGAAGGGAGAGCTCTTGACGGAGACAGAGGAATAACTGGAGAGGGAGGAGGTGAGCTTGAAGGACCTGCAGGGATTTGAGGCAGCTGGTGTGCTGTAGAATAGGGAAATGGTTTCGCAGGGCTCAGAAGATTTCCGGGGAGGAACCCAGTAGGTCTGTTCTGAGGCTGTGTCCAATGTGCGTTCCCCTCCAGGCACAGCACCCACTCAAACAGGCCGACTGCAGTTTTGTCCTTCAATATATCTCTCTGACCACTGATCTCTCCATGGCCACTGCCCCTTTCCCTACCCAAGTCACCACCATACCCTGTCTCCATGGTGGCACCTAGCACTCATACTTCCCCTTTGATTCAAAAGTTACTAGAGGTAGAGAGAGAGAGACGGAAGGATAGAAAGAGAGAGAGAGAGAGAGAGATGGAGGGATAGAAATAGAGATGGGAGCTCTGGTGTTACAGTCAGAGTTGCACTACTCACCTAAAAGCAGCCAGTTCGAATCCATCAGTGGGTCCTCAGGAGAGATATGGGCTATATCTCCTCCTGTGTGATTTACAGCATCCAAAATCCCACTGGAAATCAGCTCTGGTCAGCTCTAACTCACTAACAGTGTGTCTCTTTAGACAGAGATGGATAGATAACCAAATCTACCTGAACTGAACAACTCCTGGAATTTTCAAGGCTATAAATCTCTTCGGAAGCAGATTGCTTCATCTTTCTCCTGCAGAGTGGCCCATAGTTTTGGACTGACAACCTTTTGGTTAGTAGCTAAATATCTTAACCATTGCACCAGTAGCGCACGCACGTGCACACACACACACACACACACACACACACACACACACACTTTTAAAAAATTTGAATCATGTTATTCTCTTTTAAGACCTTTCAGTAGATGCCAACAGTTCTTTGTCTTTTTTTTTTTTTTAAATTGTGTACCGTTGAATTTAATCCAACTGGCACAGGAGGAGATTGACTCTCCTTCTCCAGCGGAGCATCTGGTGGACTTGAACTGCGTGCCTTTGGTATTATAGCGCAGCTTCTTGCCACTAGGCCACCAGAGCTCTCTGCCAACAGCACTTTGGATGAAACCCAAATCCCTTGTTCCATTCAAGAAGTTACCTTTCCCTGTCTCTCCTACTTCATGTCACTCTTCCAACCATCTCCCTCCTTCCACGTAGACGGGCGCATGTGTTCTCGTATATGTGCCTGCTTGCACACGCACTCTTTAAGCAAGGAATCTGAATCTCTGATAGCCCAGTTTCAACTCCCTGGCGCCCGAGACCCTAGAGGTGAATGTTGAATGAATGGATGAGGTGGAATTTGAACTCTAATGTTTCTGACTCAACTAATTTATTCAACAAATGGTACAGATAGCTCCATTCACCCTCCAGTTAGAGCCCGCAGTTCCTTTAGGGTAAAAGGCTATGAATAACAGAAAGGTGGAGAGAGCTAAGAATTCTGAATTGGGAGATGTGTGGGGACAGTATTTGGGGCCATATAGTTGAATGGGAAAAGCCAGGGACCTTCTTAGAAGGGTTGTTGGGAGTTCATATTCAGAGGTTTCAAAGGCATTCGGAGGGTAGGGGTTTGAGGGGAGGTGAAGGAACCCCAAGAAAGGCTTCTAGACCTTACTGGGAACCCCAGTGAAGATGCAAGTCTGGCTTCCTGACGGCTGTGGCCTGCGGCCCCCGTTCCGGAAAGAGGCACTTACCTGTGAACAGAGCAGCCAGAATAAGGAGCTTCATTGTGTGCGCGAGTCTGGACGTAGAGGAAGAAGGGCCCAGCCCTCCTTCCTTATAGCTGCTCAAGTCCCCAAGATAAGGCTGAAGTGTTTGCTCTGCTCCCAGCCAACTGGAGGCTGGCCTTGAGTGTCCACTGTGGTCAGAACCCTGACCAGCTCGCCAGCGAGAGGGCATTGAGAACAATGGTGGAGTCTGTCCTCAGCACCTTGTAACCTCAGTGAATTTGCAGGTCTTGGAATCGTCACCCCCACACCCTACCCCTTTGCATCCAGCCACAGTCTCAGTGTCCCACTGAGAGAGAGGGGAAGGAGTCTGGAAGGGAATGGCTGGGGTCTCCACATCTCCGGCTCTGCTCTGTGGGCCTGGTGGAGTAGTCCCATCCAGCATGCGCTTTGGTGGTAAGGAAACAGATTCAGAGAGGTACAGTCACTTGCCCAAGGCCAATGACAGAACAGAGTTTCAGATTTTGGTCTCATGTGAAAAACACAGGTCATTTTCCCCACAGAACAAATACCATTCCCCTCCCTGCCTCCCACTGTCATACCTGGAAAGAAACTGAGGACTTTTGTGGTCACAGGCTTGAGTCTGACTCTGGAACAATAAAGGATTTTAGAGGCACCAGGAGTAGAACCACCACATCCAGTGTCTACAGAACACTCCCCTCCCCCAGTAAACCCCACACAACATTGAATGGCTTTTAAGTACACAATTCAGTGGCATATACTCTATTCATGACACTGAGCAACCATCACCACCATCTCGTTCTAGAACATTCTTTATTATTTTTGTGTGCGTGTACCGTCAAATCAGATCTGACTGGTACAGGAGGAGATTATCCCTCCTTCCCCGGCAGAGCATCTGGTGGATTCGAACCGTTCGCCTCTGGGATTATAGTTGCAGCTCCTTGCCACTAGGCCACCAGAGCTCCCCTTAGAACATTCTTACAATCCCGAAGGAAACCCACAAAACTTTTAGTATTATCCTCCTTTTCCACCCTCAGCCCCTGGCATCCAGCCGCCAGTATGCTTTCTGTCTCTGTGGATGTGTTTATCCTCGACCATTCACATAATGGGTAAAATTCTGTAATTTATTTTTTCCGTGGTTGAATCCTAAGTGATCTCTATAATAGCCCCATGAAGTAGCCAGGGCTGTGTTTATGTCGTTGAATTAACTTGTTCATATTGAGCAGATAGCAGCAAGTTCTAGAATACCTCTCCTCACCTCACCTGCCCACTGATAACCCTTTTACTAAATCTTATACGAACCCACAGTGTAGAGTAGATTCTGATGCATCATGACCCTATAGGACAGAGTCAGCACCTGTACAGAGTTTCTTTAAGGTAGGTGCTCTGGTGACCTACTGGTAAGGAGTTATGCTGGCAAACCAAAGGCAGGAGGCTTAATCCATCAGCTGCTCCTTGAGAGAAAGGAGCAATTTACAGCCCTTGGAAAACGTGAAGTCTCAGCTGTGGGTCAGTTCCAACAACTAGACAGCAATCTTTACACGAAGACAGTTCTAGGGCTTTGTGCTTCTCTCTTGGATGCACTGGGGCCGAGGATGATGGGCTTCCCTGTTTCATGCCTCACCCGAGAGTCCCAGGGAAGGGCCTTCACATTTTATGAACAGATGGGGAAACCGAGACCCAGTGTGAGGGCAGATGACACATGAACTGGGGCCTGCCTCTGCCTCTGTGCCACCCATCTGTTTCATACCACGCCTCTCATCAGCCTTGTCTGAGATTTCTAGATCAGCTGGTGCTCACACAGCAGCCATGGGCTACCTGAGGCTGTTAAAATTCTTCAAAATGAGATTAAAATGAATCAGTCTGTCTCAGTCTGTCACACCCCCAAGCACGGTTGAGCGGATGCTGACTCCTGGCGACCCCATGTGTTTCTGAGCTGACCTGCATCCCATGGGGTTGCAATGGCTATGAGCCTCCACAAGGAGACTGCCAGACCTTCCTTCTGTCGTGCCTCTAGATGGATTTGAACTGCCAACCTTTCTATTTTACAGCCTCATGCTTAACTATTTCTGCCACCCTGAGTCTTTCAGTCACACAGGCCACATTTTAAGTACTCAGAGCCACACATGGCTCAAAAAAAAATACAACAAAAATCAAACCACACAAAATACCTTGAATCCAATACCACTGAGTCAATTCTGACTTATAGCAATCCTATAAGGAGACGTGGTGGTGAGTAAATTAAGTGTTGGGATGCTAACTGAAAGGTCAGGGGTTCAAATCCACTGGCTGCTCTGTGGGAGAAAAATGAGGCAGACTGTTTCTGTAAAGACTACAGCATTGGAGACCCTTTGGGGGCAGTTCTGCTCTTTCCCTAGCCACATGCTAGTGGCTCGGTATCAGACAGTGTAGTAGACATGGAAGGTTCTGTCAGATGGACTGTGGGAGCCATTGGAGGAGAGGTGTGTTGATTTAGGGTTAACCCCACACTGGCCCAACTTCAAGTCCCAGAATGAGTAGAGGCTGCCCAAGCCAAGGAAAGGCTCAGCCTCCCAAGAGTTAAAGGCCTTTTATCTGGGTGGTTTGGGGTCACGAACACAAAGAGGACCAGACCCCAGTCCTGGATCTGCGTGTGGATGGTGCTAAATGGATCTAGACCGTGGCCCTAGAAAGGAGGCGTAGACACAGCCACACAGTCCTCCGAGACTTGACAACATTCATTTAGGGAGCTCGGGTGGCACAGTAGGTTAAGAAGTCGTGTTGCCAACCCAAAGGCAGGAGATTCAAATCCACCAGCTGCACCGTGGAAGGAAGGATGGGCAAGCTTCTGTGCAATTTCCTACTTTTGAAAACTCTGAAAACTCCCTGGAGGGTTGGCTATGAGTCAGCTCTGACTTGTCTCCGAGGGAGAAAGATGGGCAATCTCCTGCTGTTTACAGACTCAGGCAGCCACTGGAGATTTGGCACTGCGTTGAATTTCTAACTTGACATGCAAGCTGTTCCAAGGAAGAAAGAGTTACAGCCTCTAGAACCTAACAGAGGGTCGACATGAATCAGAATCGACTCCTCAGCAGTGGATCTGGTTTTGAGAAGTCTACACAAGGAGGTAGTGGAGTGGTAGTGCTGTGGTTAAGCACCCAAAGGTGAACTGTTCAAATCCTCCACCCACTCATGAGTGAGATGGGAAAGATGGCATTGTCTGCTTCAGTAAAGATTTACAGCCTTGCAAACCTTTTGGGGCCAGTTCTATTCTGTTAATTTTTTTTAAATTTTTATTTATATATTTATATTCTTTTTATGTGTGTACCTTCAAATTGGATCTGACTGGTACAGGAGGCAATTGTTCCTCCTTCTTCAGCAGAGCATCTGGTGGATTTGAACCGCGCACTTCTGGGATTGCAGTGCAGTTTCCTGCCACTAGGCCACCAGAGCTCGCCTATTCTGTTAATTTTTTAAAAAATTTCCATTTATTCATTGTTGCACATTTTCCTCCCTGCCCACCCTTCCCCTCCCCAGTTCTCTTTTCTCTGAAAAAAAATTTTTTTGTGTGTGAGCTGGCCTAATGGCAAGAAACTGCACTGCAGTTCCAGAGGTGAGTGGTTCAAATCCACCAGATGCTTTGCTGGAGAAGGAGGAACAATCTCCTCCTGTACCAGTCAAATCTGATTTGACGGTACACACACACAAAATTTTAATTCTTTCATTGTAAGTTCTGCTTTGTTTTATAGAGTTGTTATTAATCTATGACAATGGGTTTAGATTTTGGTGGTGTAGTCAGTTGGTCCACAGAGAGTTAGGGAATTGTGTTGCTAACTCGGAGGCTGAAACTCTCTGGCTCACAGGGAGAAAGATGGGCAGTCTCCTCCGGCAGGTGGGATTTACAGCCTCAGAAAACCTTCTGGAGGAGGGTCAACTAGGAGCCGGTTTCAACATAACAGCAGCGGGTTTACTTGAAATACTTGAGGTGACTTGAGGCCAAATGCCTCACTATGGATACTACCACCAGAGTTCCCTTAAGGCCAGTGAGGCTCAGAGAGGTTAAGTGACTGCCACCGTGCCACACAGCAGGGCCAAGCTGTGAGGCAGATCTGATGCTCATGCTACCACAGTCCACAGGAGGAGAGGGCATGGCCAGTACACACCAGCCAGCTGGAGGCTTTCCAACCAGCCAGGCTGGTCAATTCCCACGTGGGGGCTTGGGCAGAGCGCATGGTGGGAGAGGGGGGAGAGCTGCTGCTGGACCTTTCCCCCGGGAAGAAAGCAGACCCCGTGGGACAGCCCAAACCTGGCACCTGGGTCACAGAGGTAGGGGAAGAATGCCCCCCAGGCAGCCCACCCTCCAGCCTCTACACTGTGCCCTGTGACCTTGCCCAGCCCTGTGGCCCTGTACAGGTGCAAGTAGCCCAGCTTCTCCCAGCCTGGGAAAAACACACTCCCCAGTGGAAAGAACAGCTAAGGATAGCTTCTCTACCCACCCCTTCAGGTGTCTGTGTACCCACACTCCCGCAAGGTCACGCCTGCCCAGATGCTGGGGCAAGGCCCCTGCTTCCAGGAAGCACTCAGGAACAGCTAACATTTGGAGAGCACTTCTTTAGGCTTGGCACGGGGCAGGGAGCTTTCAGTCTTAACAATCTCCTAATAAGAGTTGTGGCGAGGCTTCACCATCCCCATTCTAAGAATGTAAAGATGAAGAACACGGAGGTATTCTTCTGTATTGATTCATCTGTAAAGGTGAAGAATACTGAGCACTTGAAAAGCCAGAAAGTGATGGCGATAAGATGAGAATCTCTCTGCCTTCCTCTTAGCCCAGGGCTCTCTTCAGTAACAAGAATAATAGCGGCCACCAGCCACTGAAGGAGCCCTGGTGGGATAGTGCTGTTAGCTGCTAAGTGAAGTGGTGTCTGTTTGAATGCACTGGTGGAAGAAAGAGGGGCAATCTCCCGTGTGATTGAATGCCTCCGAAGGTCCACTGGAGGGTCAGGTCTGCCTCGGCAGCACAGAATAACAGGCGCTCCATGGGGAGAGATCCCGGAGATCTGCATCCTCAGAAACCCACTAGGAATTGGAACTGACTGGATAGCGGGGGTTTGGGGTTAACCCCGTCATGTAATATAAAGCGCCCTGGTGACTACTTTATAACCTGTTAGACTTTTAACCGAAAGGTCTGAGGTTTGAATCCCCAGGCTGCTCCGTGGGAGAAAGACGGGCAGCCTTGTCCTATTAAGATTTACGGCCTTGGAAACGCAGTGGAGGGTCGCCAGAGTCAGATTTAACGCGACCAAGGGCATTTGGTTGGATCTGAACGTTCATCCAGTGAAATGTGAGGAGATACAGAGGGCTGTATACACCTTATCCTTACCTAGACCTCTGCTATTGTGTGGATCAGCAGATTGTCCATATGTCCACACCTTTTCCCATGTCCAAAGCTCCCATCCTTTTCTTCTCCTTCCTGAATGCTAGTGGTGTTTTCCATCAGCACTTTTTGAGGTGGTTTAGCTATGTGGGAATATTCTTTGGAAAGGGGCATCATGCTTGGAAGGACGGAGGGTCAGTGAAGGAGAGGAAGACCCGTAACAAGATGAACTGACACTGGGACTTTGGCAACGGACTCAAGTGTTTCAGGGATGATGAGCATGGCACAGGAGAGGGCAGGGAGGTCCATAGGATCATTATGAGTCATACATACTTGACTCGATGGCACCTAACAACATTGATGTAACAGAAACCGCTTTAAAGCTTACAGTTCAGTGGTACCTAGTACATTCAGTGTTAAGTACTTCTCTTTAGTTCCAAAAAAGGTTTCCCTCATCGCCAAAGGAAACTAGTGTCAATTAAGAGCAAGGGAGCTCTGGTAGCTTGGTGGTAAGGAATTGCACTATGAATGCAAAGGTAGGTGGTTCGAATCCGCCAGCTGCTAAGTGGAAGATGGGCAGTCTGCTCTTGTGAAATTTACTGCCTCTGAAAACCCACCAGAGAGAGCTGGCTATGAGTCAGTTCTGAAATCAGTGGTACACACAACAGCTCACTAAGGTGTTACTTTTCCAACCCTAAAAACACCAAATCCACTGCCCTCAAAGTGGATTCTGACACATGGCGTCCCTCCCTCAGCTTTCTGGGGTTGTAAATCTGTCCATATTTCCCCCTCAGAGCAGCCTGTGGATTCAAATCTCTGATCATTGGATTAGCAGTTAACAAGCTACCTCACCAGAGCTCCTTATTCGAACTCTGTTGTTTCACTGTGGTTGGAATAGACCCACAGCTGACTCTTCCGCAGGTTTTCAGAGGCAGTTTTTCACAAAGAAGATTGTCCTCCTCTTCTCACAGAGCAGCTAGTGGATTAGAACCGCGTGCCTTTGGGATTACAGCTCAGCTACTTACTACCAGCTACCAGAGCTCCTTATTCTAACCCTAGGCAACCTAATTCGCTTCCTCTCCAGGGGTTTGCTGTTTGGGAAGTTTTTCCATGAATAGAATCATACAACGCATGACCTTTTATATCTGGCTTTCCTCATTCTCCTCTGACAGATGGGAAAAGGGAGGCTCAGAGGAAATGCCCCCCCAGGTAGGAAGGGGAGGACCCACTAGCAGAAACATAACCATTTGGGGCCATAAGAGACCCTCCTCACCTTATCCCCTCTGGGGTCTCTGGGCTGAAGATAAACCACAGGAAGGGGGTCCAGCCTGAATGGGGGTCCAGCACGAAACCGTGAGGCTGGGTGAGAAAGTGGAGTTGGAAGCTGGGTCAAATGCAAAGTGAGGAAGTCTGTGATTTTTAAAGGGAGAAAAAAAAAAAAAAGAACCCCTGAGGTCCCCTGACCCAAATACAGACAAGACACTGGCCGGGACCGTTTTCAAATAATTTATTAGGAATTTAAAACTGAAAATAAAACCTGGAAAAAGAAGTTACAGAGATGGAGAGAAGAGACACTGGGGAGTGGTAACTTGCTGGCTTTGAAACACCTTGTAACATCTTTAAAAAAAAATCCCCCAAACAAATCAGAAAACAGAGTTCCAGATCCCTGAGCCCAAGGGTGGCCTCAGAGGAGTGGGGTCAGGGAGAAGGGAGAAAGAAGAGCCGGATCCCTCAGGACTCCACTCAAATGTGTAGAAAATGAAAATAAAAACCAATAAAATGCAGCTTCTCATTTATTAGGAAACATTAAAAAAAAAAAAAAAAGAACAAAAAAACCACAAACAGCCGAGTCTCAGTAACAAAGATTATTATTGCTTTGTGTTCTCAGGGCTAATAGGCTAAGCACCTCACTCGGACAATTAACTCTCCAAAGGCAGGTGTGGGGGTGAGGGCTCTGAGGGGAGGGGTACTGAGGCCCCCAGCCTCAGGCCTGAGGAAGAGGGAGGCCAGAGAGCGGGAAGACCTGGGGGGGGCCACAGCCCTGCCTCAGTTATGGTCATGAATTCAGACCCTGAGCCTCTCTTTTTCCTTTGAAAGGGGCTCTGGGATGGGGGGGGTGCTGCCAAGGGGCTCTGGTGGGACACTTCAGTGAGAGAATGTGGGGGTTCCCTGAGAAGCTTTGCTTTCCCCTGGGGTCCGCCCCTTCCCAAAATGTCCCCATGCCCATGTAGGGGGCGGGAGAGGGCTCAGAGCAGAAGCCATGAGGATCTAAACCAGGCAGGGGGGCCAGGGGGACCTTTGGAGAGTTAATTTCCTTCCAGCAGTGGCTCCAGGCAAGCCCTTCTCCTCCCTTGCCCCCACACTGGGTTTTCGGGGTGAGGAGACCCAAGGCCTTTCCCCGAGGGCCTGAGAGAGCCGCCCGCTGAGGCCACAGCGGAGCTACAAGCTTACAGTAACGATGGAGTCTGAGGAGGGGGAGAGAAATGGGGAGACGAGGCCCTCGCCCCACGGGTCCAAGGAGAGGTGGGCTTCACCTCACAGTATTTACATATGATACAGGACGGGGCTGGGGTCCAGGGGCTCGGCCTGGCCTGCAGCCCTGTCCTCTCCAGGCCTGAGGGCAGGTGGTGGCCAGGGGCCCACACCCACACAGACACTTCTTAGCTGGTGGGGGCACCTGGCCCCCTCGAGGCCTGGGGCTTCACATTCACAAACCTAGAAATAGTTTAAAAATGGTTTCTCTTTAAAAAAAAAAAAGAAAGCAAAAAGAGGAGAAAAATCAGAATAAAAAACATGGGTTGGGCCTGCAGGCACTGTAGCAGGCTCCCTCCGCCCTCAGTCTAGCTATGCACAAATACAAAAGCCTTCTGGTGGGCAGGAGGGGCGCAGGCCTGGGAGAACCAGGGAGGTCGGGCAACCAGCTAATCCAAAATAAATAAAAGCGGGCAGGGAGGTGGGGGTGAGGATGGAAAAGGGGGAGGTTAGTAGGGGGCCAGATGGTGGTGTGGGGGGCAGCAGGGCAGGGAGCCAGGCCCAGGGAGAAGGGGGGCAGGCAGTAGCGGGGTCCGAGTCGCTGCAGGGGAGGGGGCGGCGGCTGCGGCTGAGGTTGTCCCCTGCCCCCTCGGCTGGCTCCCTCGTGGTCCTCGGTCAGTTGCAGGCTAGGGTGCTGAGGACACAGGGGTAGAAAATGGGGACCTGGCTTCTTCTTGGGGGACCCTTTAAAGTTACTCCCCTCATCCCCTCCCAGGTGAGCTTCACCCTGGCCTCATCCCTGTATTGACTGTACTTTCCCCAGATACGGACTTTATTAAAATGTATTCAAATTTTTATTCTCTCCAAACCATCTCATTTGTCTACTTGATTTGCACCTGCAACTTGAGAGGGGTCTTGTTCACACCTCTATAAATGTTTACCTGAGAGAATGAATGAAATTAATTCCTTTCATCACTTGTGCACAGCAAGCCCCTGGGCCCCTAACTGTGGACCCTTTCAGCTTGCACCTTTGTTGATGCATAAAGATGGATCATATTCTGTCTTCTTTCCCTTCTTGTGTATTTTTTAAATTTTTTTTCTTTATTGTTCTTTTGTGTGTACCATCAAATCGGATCTGACTGGTACAGGAGGAGACTGTCCCTCCTTCTCCAGCAGAGCATCTGGTGGATTCAAACGGTGCACCTCTGGGGTTGCAGTGCAGCTTCTTGCCACTAGGCCACCAAAGGTCACCCCTTCTTGTGTATTTTTGTGGAATTAGCTCTGTATCAAAACGTCTATATTTTAATTTTTTTATAGGAACAATTCAAGGACATTAACTCCACTGTTCAACCATCACAAGTATTCACTGTATCCATTTTCACAGCTATGTAATATTCCATCATCTGCACACATGTTTAATTTAGTAGTGTCTTTTTGTTGGGCTGGTTACTGGGAGCTTTTAAAATAAGTACCTGGAAGTAGAACTATTGGGCGAGGGAGCATTAGTGTTTCAGATCTGGAGAAGGACCTTCTAGACGCCCAAGAACCTTTGCCAATGCGGTATGTGAAATGTGGCCTTACACTCACTAACATTTTCAAATGTAGCAGAATGAGCATCTTTGCCAAGTCTACCTCCCCCACTGGGTATGGATTCTGTGGGCACTGAGGTTCACCCTCCCCTCCTTACCTCCTGCCACCTGTCCCCTGCTTCAGTGGTACCCATTGGTGAAAGCTGTGGCGATCAAGGGACCCTAGGAAGAAAAGACTGTCACTCCTAGATCCCTGGGGAGGGCAGAACAACCCTAGAACTGTGTGCTGTCCCACTGACCCCTGGGTGGGGTGCAGAGCCCTCTGCAGCCTGGGAATCTGAATGCTGCCAGCACTCTGATAAAAGACAGAAGACCCCCACAAAACAAAAGCCCATTGCTGGTGAGTTGATTTCAACTCAGAGTGACCCTCCATTGGGTTTGCAAAACAGTGGTTCTTTTTAGGAGGAGCCTTTGTCCATTTTTCTCCCTTGGAGTGGCAGGTGGATTTGAACTGCCAACCTTTCAGATACGCTGCTTGCTTAAATGATGCACTAAGCTACCTCAGAGCTCCTTAGAAAAAGGCAGGGGGGCCTGAATCTGAATCTGACTACCACACAGATAGAAATAGTGCATTTCTATCACACGACATTTCTGTGGTTTAGCTGCTAAGTTGATTTTAACTCATGGTGACCCGCCAGTGTGTGAGGAGTGGGCTTTTCAAGGCTTTGACCTTTCAGAAGCATCACCAGGCCTATCTTCTAAGGCACCTCTGGGTGGGCTCGAACTGCCAACCTCTTGGCTAATGTTCGAGTGTTTAACCATGCGCACCACTCAGAGACTCCTCCTGTCTGTCTCCTGCCTAGGACACCTAAATCCACTGCCATCGAGTCAACTGTGACTCACAGCGACTCTGGGACAGAGCAGAACTGCCCATAGGTTTATTGAGGCTGTCTGTCTTTACAGGAGCACACTGCTGCTTCACCCTCCATTGGGCCTGGAACTGCCAACCTTTTGGTGAGCAGTCGAATCCTTTAGCCACTATGCCAGCAGGGCTCCCTGACTGATACACAGATGGCCGGCCATAATTAAATGCCCAGTGGATGGATGCAAACCCTGCCCCTCTTTGGCTCCTGTAGAAAACGTCTCTCTGTCTCCTGACCTCGGGGCCTCCTAGGGCCTGACCCACTCACCCCGAGACTGTGGCCGAAGCCAGTGCTGGGGGCAGGGCTGGCGGCGCTGATGTAACTGCTGACCCCTGAGTCCTGGTTGGCCGCCCCATAGAGCTCGGCCATGGGGCCAGGGCTGGTGGTCCCCAGGAAGCCCCCGGTGCGGCTGGGAGTCGAACCTGGAGGGGGAGCCATCGTCCAGGGATGAGAGCCTGGTAACCCAGAAAGAAGAAGATGGTGAGAGTCCCCCGTGGGGGGTGAGGCTCAAGGCTACTGTGCGGTCCCTCATCCACTCTCTCCCCCACACCCCAGCAAACACTTCAGTTAGTCCATCCACCCTCCACAGCTAGCCCAGCCCCCTATCTCTCATCCGTTATCACTTGGCAGCCTCCTCACTGGTCTCTTGTTCCACCTGCCCCCAGCCCCCTTCAAGTCCTTCCTTACTCTGCACCTGGGTTGTGTTTCCTAAAAACTGGCCTCTGTCACTTGCTGCCTGAATGGTTCAGTGTCTCCTCAGGCTTGCTTTCTCCTGCCCCTGTCCCCTCACTCCCTCCTTCTGCACTCTAGACCCATGCTGACTGGCCTCTGAGCCTTTGCACATGCTGATCCCTCTGCTGGTCCTTCCCTTTGCCTCCAGCTCTGAGGGCTCCTGGAAGCCCTTGTATGTGGGGGCTCAGTGCTGTGGCAGTTGGCTCCCCAAGCAAGGCAGGACCACAAAGAGGGAACTCAGCTAATGGCATGAGTAAAGGAGCCCCTCTGTAAAGGGGTGGCAGCCAGCCCCCTACCTCTGCAGCCTCCTCTGACTTGCACTCCCCTCCCTCATGTCCTTCAGACAAGAGGCCTCACCTGTTCCCCGGACCACAGCTGCTGCTGCCGCCGCGGCTGCCATTGGTCCATAAGCAGTGAGAGGAATGGCTGGAAGAGAAAGAGTGGGCGCATCAGTGTGGCCAGGCAGGGGATGGAGGTGGCTCAAGGGAATCCTGACCCTCTGGGCAGAAAGAACCATCCCAGTTTGCCATCTGTGCCTGCACCCACCCGTGGAATGGCTGGAGGAAGATAGGAGAAAGGATAGCTCCCTAGAGGTCACCACAGCTCTGCCTCAGTTTCTCCCTTAGACTCATAAGGCACTTGGACAAGCCAAGGCTCACTGGGGGTGAGACGCTGTCACCCAGACCAGAGTGCTCCTCTGTCAGACAGACGTATCCATTCTGCGCTGTCCCCTCCCTAGAGAATTTCCTTACAGAACAGGAACCACTTCACCCCAAGGTGCCTGGTACCCTCAGTCCAATTTCATTGGACTGCAACCTATGACTGACCACCATAGGCACAACTCTGGGCCGATTCTGTGATCTATCTACTTTATCCTTCAGAGCTCCCTGTGGGATCAGGAAGAAGCTAAGACTCCAGGACTTAGCAACTTCAGCTGCCTTGTCCCCAGTGTCTCATCCCTTCTCCACAGAATGCTTGAAGGGCATTGTGTGCACCTGGGCGCTTCCTGTGTCTCAGGGCAGGAAACTGTGTGCATCTTGGTGCTTCCTGTGTCTCAGGCATCTCTGCCTACCCAGCCAGAAGTGGCCACCCTCCTCCAATTCCCTCAGCCCTGTCTCTGTGATCCCCTCTTAAGATATAGGGGACCCTACTATTTCCTTGTTTGTTGTCTAGCCTTTCACTCCCGACACATGTAAAACCTTGCCTTGTTCACAGGTGGTGCTTAATAAATATTTCTTTAATAACCTTTGGGCTTGTGTGAGTCGATCACAGGGGCTGCAGGGTGAGCGCCCCCTACTGCCTGGTTCTGCCACGGCAGCCTATACAGCCTTGCCCGGAGAGGGTACTTGGCCAAGCTCCCCATGAACAGCCAGTCTTCCATCTGGAGATGTGTCCCTCAGTGCTGTTTTGGGGACTAGACATGGGGCAAGAGGTCCTGGCAACCGCTGTCACTGAGTGGTGGCAACCCCAGGTGCGTTGGCGTAGAGCTGTGCTTCCGTGGGATTTTCAGTGGCTTGTTTTTGGGAAGCAGAACACCAGGCCTTTCTTCTGAGCACCAACTGGGTGAGTCTGAACCTCTAGGCTTTCACTTAAGTAGCCGAGTGCATGAACTCTTTGCACCACCCAGAGAGACTGCAATACAGGTTTCCTGTCAGTTCTTGGAGGGGCAGGGACAAGGCTCTAAGGTCTCTGTTTTCAGTCCACCTAGAAGGTTCCAGAGTGAGATCTGAGGAAACGCCTCAAATGTACCTTCATCACAACCGCAAAGGACTGGCTCGTGTACAAAGTACTTTTCTCCCTAGACTGTAAAGTTCTACAGGAGCTAAGGCTCTGGCTTGTCAGCGTGGTGCCCCTGCCTCCTATTTCTGGAATGAATAGAAGGGACCCCTGACCCCTAGAATAATTTTCAAACTCACTCTGTTCAGAGAAAAGCCGTTTACTTTTCTTGCCCCTAGGACACTGTCCTCCTTCCCCTACCTTCACCCTCCACTTCTTCTCCTGCCTGCCACTTTGGTGAGAGAACCCCTGAACACCACTGAGAAGGAAGATCTCATCTAAAAGCAGCAGCCATGCTCACATCCTCCACACGCTCCCAGGTTGGCGAGCAAGAGTCTGGGGTGGGTGGGGCAGGGAGAAGCAGGTTATAAACAGAGAAACCCCTCGCTGTTCATCTCATCTGTGCATGTACCCCTCTTGACCTCGCTCCCAGCTCAGGAGCGGAGTGGGCGGGCCCTAGAGAAAGTTCCAGCGGGTTCCAGAAAGTTCCTCCCACTTGCCCAGAGGACTGCATTCGGCCCTCATATATGATTCATTTGGCCTGCACAAGTGGTGTAAAATTTTGGAATTTGTTGCCAACAGTTAGCATTTCACATAAAAATAAATGTTTTTAAAAAAAGAAAAAAGAAAGGATTGCAAATGTTTTAACTAGAGCAAAAACCGGGGTCTGGCTGCTCTAGAGAAATGAGATTAGAAGGCTCTGGGTCTGTAGCCTCGCCTGGCTGGGGCACTGGAACTGAGTGGACATACCCACGTCAGCAGGCCAGAGCCCCCACCTGGTCCATGTTGCTCTGAGTTTGAGACCCTGGGCTGCTTGTGGCTGGACCGTGGTGTCTGGCACACTGGAGGTGCTCGATAAATATTTGCCAAGTGGACAAACGAGTGACTTCGTCTCCATCTGCTGGGCCTGGCCAGGTGCCCTGCCCTAAAGGGCCAGGCAGCTATGCAGACTGGCCAGTGCCTGAACTGGCCAGTGTTGCTGGCATAAGCTGCTGTGCCCCCTCAAGCCAGAGGGCTGATGGGCAGGAAGAAGGGGTCCCAGCTAGCTCTCCCCAGGTAGGTCTTTCTCCCGGTGGCCTGTGAGGAGTAGGAAATCCGAGCAACTGACCTGTAAGCTCGGGAAGGACTGGGGCGCTCGGGAGAGGGGTCCGCTCTACACGGAATTCTAAAACGAAAGGGAAAACAGCTTAGGAGGAAGCAGGGGAGGCCCCTGGAGCGGGGAGGATGGAGGTACCCACAGGGAAACTGGGTTGGGGACATGGGGACAGGCCATGCACAGGACTCAGGAGTTGTGGGTCAGGGCAGGGTTGGGGGAGCATAGCCCCCAGTAGGCAGGAGGGAAAGCAGGAGAGAAAGAGGAAGCAAAGTGGGGGGAGTTGCCACCTATACCCTGGATGTGGAGCTAAACTGGAGTGAGAGTTCAAGTGGTTTCGTTCTTTGAAAAAATATTTCATTTTGTTGTCGTGAAAAACACTGTGAGCTGGTTCTATGTTTTTAATTCAGTGACATCGATGACCCTATTCAAGTTGTACAGTCTTCCTCTCCTCCCCTGGTCCAAACTGTTTCTCCCCATTAAAATAAACCCTGAAACTCCACATCTAACCTTCCAACTGTTTCCGACAAGGCTGACGGTTGACAGGGATTGTTCTTGCTGAGGGGACGCTGTGTGTCTGTCAATGTGGTGGGATGGTGTGGAAAGGGATATTGGTCATGGTTATCCAGCCTGAAGATTTTGAGGGGTATCACTGAATTGTGCATGGAGGAATAGGTGGGATGGGATATGATATGTATATTTTCACCACAACCAGATTTTTAAAAAACATTTAAAAATTACAGAAAAATAAAAATAAATGAAGTGCTTAGACACATACTAAGACATTGCCCAGAACTCTACTTTCTTTTTGGGTGAGATTCAGGGCAGACAGCATTGAAGAGCAGTGGCCCTCAAGTAGGATGGACTTAGGCCCAAGTCTCATCTCCTCTATTCCCCAATTAAGTCTTTTATAACAATTTTTAAATTTTCACTTGAGGGTTTACAGATCATATTAGTTTTTCAACACAATCATTTGGAGATATTATAAAAATCGCATTCACTGCCGCTGGTTAATATATCCCATTTCCTAGCTAAGATACATTGGAGAATCTTGTCTCCAGTTGAGGTATTTCTAAGTCACATAAGGATATTCTAACTTCACATCTCAGGTGATTGTGAGGGTTAGACAACAAAATACACACAGAAGTCACTGCTAAGAGACCAAAGGGCCAGTTACTTCAAAATAAAGACGAGATTGCAGGGAGACAGGGAAACTAGGTGGACAGCAGTGAACCAAGCAGGGTGGAAACAGGGCGGTTTCATTCATTGTGGAGACCCTTAACTGTGAGGTCACCGAATGATCTGCATGGAAATGCTGAGCGGGAAACTAAACTGCTGTGTGAAACTGCACTGAAAACCTCCCAATATACTCTTTTTTAAGAAAGCAAATGCAAAGGGTTCCAAGATGATAGACAGATGAAAGGGTGTGTGATGCAACCCGCTAAGGGACCCTCGCAAAAAAGAAGCTGATTAAAACAGTTTACAGGATTTTAATAAAAAGCAAACAGCACTGCACAGCCATCAGGGGCCAGTGCGGAAGTAAGTGGGGCTTCCTACCACTCATGTCATGGGCTGGTGTTATTTTTATTCTTAATTACAAGTGAGAATTGCGACCACAGGGCTCAGGATGGCACCTAGTCATTACAAGGCAGGCCAACCCGTCAATGCCAGGTCAGTGAGGAGGCATAGTGACCCCATGTGAGGGAAAGTGTTCCCTAGGGTTTTCTGGGGTGCAGTCTTTAATGGGAACTGACTGCCTTTCTTCCATGATGCAGTGGGTGGGCTTGAACTGCCAACCTTTAGGTCAACAGCTGATCACAATCTATTTGTGCCACCCAGCAGCCTCTAGTTGTCATAAATGTCCCAGTGTCAGTCCTCAGGGAGGCCCCCTCACCACAACCTGTGTTTGGTGGAAGTGGCAACTCCAGAACAGAGAAGGCAGGAGAGAAAGGCAGGAGGTGGAAAGACGGTCTCGGGGAGCAGTGTGCCATGCAGGGCCGAGGGGAGTCCCCGCTCAGCTCCTGGGTGTAGGCGGGAGCAGACTGGGAGGGGAGGTGCTCTTTCCTCGGACAAACCCTTCCTTCCAAGGCTCCAGCAGGCAGAACCCCGGCCATGCACCCCAGATACCGCCCTGAGGATGCCAGACTTCCCGGGAGCTAGTCATGCTGGCAGTGGAGGGACACCAAGCAGGACTTACCTGGGAACTGGTATGTGTAGCCGGGGGCGAGGCCTGTGTAACTCCGGCTGGCATAGGTCGTGGCTTGGAAACCCGGGTAACCTGACGGGGTAAGGGAACAGTGTCAGAGCTGGGGACTGCCTGTGTGGAAGGGACTTCTGAGCCACTTGTCCTCCCACTGACCCGTATCATATCATGCATATGACGTGGTCATACGATAAGGTGCTCACATGACATCCGTGTGCCAGGCCCCCCTCAGTGCTAACTAAGCCGCACACTAACTTATCCCATTTAACTTCCAACAGCCTGCCTGGCGAGGTAGACGCAATCACCCCAGCCATGGCCGTCGACGCAGGGTGACGCTCCATCATGTTTCTGCGGCTGTGAATTCTTACAGGAGCATGTATACCCTGTCTCCTGTGGAGTGGCTGGTGGATTCGAACTGCTGACCTTTCTCTTAGCAGCCTGACATGTTACGCACCATACCACCCAGTCTCTTCAGGTGCTAATGCACCAAACCCAAACCCACTACTGTCAAGTGGATTTTGATTCCGGACGGTCCCAGGCACTACATTTTCTTGGCTGTGACTGCCAGGCCTTACTTCCACAGCACTGATGGGTAGGTTTGAACCACTGACTCTCAGGCTAGCTTTGTAACTGCACCAGCCAAAGGCTTTTAGTCCTATCAGGAACCCCATTTTACAGACAAGGAAACTGAGGCTCAGAGAGGTGCTGCTGCTTATTGGCTGGAAATAAAATCCAAAGTCTTTACTAAGGCCTTTGTACCCTGCCTCCTGCCTCCTCCTTCATCCTCACCCCCTGGAGTCTGCTCCAGCCTCACCGGCCTCCTGTTTTTTCTCAAATTGGCCACAAAACTGGCCACTTTCCTTCCAACCTCAGGACCTTTGTATTAACTATTCTCTCAGCCTAGAACACTCTTGACCTCAGATTTTTACACAACTAGGTCCTTGTCACTGCGCAAGTCTCAGCTCAAATGTCACTTCCATAGAGAAGTCTCCCTACAGGAGCCCCCACCTTCCTTCCAGTCAGTGACCATCTCTAGCCTGTCACCTGTTTGCCCCCTCATGGCACTGATGGACATTATCTGTCTTGCATCGTTTTTCTTAAATCCTTATTTTTTAATCTTCCTCATATCTTTTATTTCTGTGTCCCTGCCACCAGCCCTGGTTGAGGGGGGAAATGTTGTTGATCTGTCAACTGGAAGGTTGGTAATTGGAAACCACCAACCCAGCTGTGGAAGAAAGACAAAAAGTCTTCTAACTTTTGTGGCCACAGAAGCCTAATCACTATGGGTTGTAATCAGCAAGATGACAGTGAACTTGAATTTGGGATTTTAGTACCAGCATGGTGCCTGCTTCTTAAAACCAAGCTCACTAAAAACAAACAAACTAACTAACTAACTAACTAACTAACTAACTAACAAACTCACTGCCATTGAGTTGATTCTGACTCATGGTGACCTTCACTGGGTTTCTGAAGTTGTAAATCTTAATGGGAAGCAGACTGTCTCATCTCTCTCCTATGGCACAGCTGGATTTGAACCTTCAATATGCTGATCAGCAGCCCCACAAGTAAAGCAGCAGGGTCCCTTTGCCTGCTATTTGTCATTATGTGCCATTGAGTCAGAACCAACTCATAGCTGAACCTCTTGCTTTTTCACCAGCTGTAAATTGTACGGGAGGAGACTGCACATATTTTATTAAATATTTACAGAGTTGATTAAACAGAAGCTTAAGGGGGGGGGTGTCAGTATTTGCAAATGGAGGAAGAATAAGTCACAAAGGGGAGATAAAAGAAGAGCAGTGCACTTTGAAGATTGTAACCAGTCCCACTGAGTTCATTTTGCAGAAATCATGGAACTGGTATATGTTTTGCTGTGTCTATTAGCAACAACAGCAAAAACAAAAGTAAAAATGAGCCTCTTTAAGAAAAAAAAATTGTAGTGTTTTCAGAAAAAGAAATTTGTAAAGTTCAAAGAAGAAGAAAAAAAAATATCAGGTTAGTAATGGTAGAGAATGGTAGAGTTGGGGTTAAAACTCAGGTCTGACTCCACGCTACTTAGCCACCACTACTGGGGTTTATTAGGAGTTTTCTTTCTAAATATCTTTTAGATGGCAGTGAAATCCACTCATGAATCACCTTAAAAGAAGAGGACAGTGGCGAGCTCTGGCGGCCTAGTGGCAAGAAGCTGCACTGCAATCAGAGGTGCACGGTTCAAATCCACCAGATATTCTGCTGAAGAAGGAGCGACAATCTCCTCCTGTACCAGTCAGATCCGATTTGATGGCACACACATAAAAAAATAATAGTAATTTAAAAAAATAAAAAGGAGGACACTTTCTAACAGCAACAACAAAGAAATAAATTACCAAAAAGAGAAAATAAAATTTTCTTGCTATTCCAGATCAATGGAGGCTAAGAAGACAGGACAGTTAAATGCAATATCTAACTCAAGCCCAGATCCTGTGCAGGAGGGCAAAAATATGCTACAATGAACACTGTCAGGTCAGATGGGAGAAGTGGAAAACGGCTGGATAAAAATAGAATATCAGTATAGATCTACGAAGTTGATAACTGCATTGTGGTCACAAGAAAGAAGATTGTTCTTGGGAAAGACACACGGAAGTATTTAGGAATAAATCATCATGATGTCGAAATCAAAACAAAACTCAACCCACTGCTGTTTGAGTAAGTTTCAACTCAGAGTGACCTTACGGGAGAGGAAAGAACTGTCCTATATGGTTCCCAAGGGGACCTCTGGTGGCCTCGTGGTAAGAAGCTGCACTGCAATCCCAAAGGCATGTGGTTCAATCCACCAGCTGCTGTGCAGAAGGAAGATGAGCGCTCTCCTCCTGTGCGATTCATTGCCTCTGAAAACCCATTGGAGGGTCCGCAAGGGGTCAGTTCTGACTCAATGGCATGTAATAACAAACAAGAAATCTTTAAAAGGCACAGATTGCCAGAGCTTTCTCCCAGAGAGGCTGGTGGGTTGGAACTGCCAACCTTTTCATTAGCAGTGCAGTCTTTAACCTGTAGCACTACCAAGGGTCCTTATGGTGTATAGAACTTACTCTCTAATGATTCAGAGAAAATCACAAATGTGTGTGCGCGCCCCATTTCTTATTGCTGTCCTTGTGGCCTAGTGGGTAAGGAGTTGTGCTGCCAACTCAAAGGCAAATGGTTTGAATCCACCAGCTGCTCTGAGGCAAGAAGATGGGCAGACTCCACCCATGTGCTTTACAGTCTCTGAAAACCCACTGGAGGGCCAGCTGTCAGTTCGTTCTGACTCAATGGCACATAACCACAACAGCGACACACACACAAATGACAAAGCAAATGGAGTACATGTTAGCAATAGGTAACTCTGGAAGTGAATATTCTTTGAAAAAGTGAATGTTTTTGTAACTCTTAAAATTTGAAATTATTTCCAAATAAAATGAGTTTCAGAAATAAAACAACTTCAAGAGGAGAATGGATCCCCTTTGAAGGGTGCTCTTTTCTTTTTCCGGGATTCCAATCCTGCCCCCTTGCAGTCCACACCATGCCCCCCTCCTCTGGACTCCCAGTACCCCTCTCTTTCCACCACACCTAGTATGAAGCCCACTTGTACTGTCGCCTTTCTATACACACACACACCTTGTCTCCCCAGGAAGATCTGTGCTTCCTGGGTACCACACACAGATCCATCACCCCCTACTCCTTGTTCATAAGCATTGTATATGGAATTGGTGCCTGTAAATACTAGCTGACCCTTGGTCAACCACCAAAAGACTCAGCAAAGGCGTCACCTCATCCTGGAAGCGTTCCCCGACTTCAGGTGGGGTTAGATGTCTCCCTGGACCTCTCACGGCCTCTAATCCCTCCATGCTGATACTGGCTACCTACTCGTATCGCCCCAATTGATGGCAAGCGCATGACAGTAGGTCCTGCCTCTCTGAATGTGCTCACTGAATATTAGCTGAACGAATAACAAGGAGCAGACTGCACGCATTGGCAAAGGCCATTACAAATGCTGTTCCCTTCCCCTGGAACACTCTTCCCTACCCTTCCCTTCCCCACTATGGTGGATTCCTCCTTATCCTGCCCACATGGCATGAGTGTAACTTCCTCTTGACTTCCCAAGACTGAGTTTGGTTCATTTCTCCATCCCAACCCTCTTTATCTTTTCACTTGTCTTCCCCACCAGACCACGAAGTTCCAAGGCAAACTACCAAAGCTATTCAGAACCCCCAGATCCACTGGTACCAAGTCCATTTTGAGTCACGACAAGCCCGCCGGACAAAGGGGAACCGACCCACAGGGCTTCCAGGGCTGCAATGTTATCTACACTGACCACCGGTGCATCTTTTTCCCACGGAGCAGCTGGTCAGGCTGCTTCCCTTTTGGTAAGCAGGCATGTAATCTGACCACCGTGCCACTAGGGAACCTTTTAATCCTGGCATAAGGCCTGGCATATACTTGGAAAAAACACTTGCTGAAAGGATGGACAGACGGACGGAGTGTATTAAGGCCAGATCATTCTCCTGGCCACCAGCAGAGGGCAGCACCGCCCAACCAAACCCCTCCACCTCCAGCTGACCTGCCAGACCTGTGTCCCGCCAGCCCCACTCCCTCCTGCCCAGTGACTCAGACAGGAAGGCAGACCACAGAGGAGACGCACCACCCACGTGCACCCTGGCAGCCCTGGGAGCCGTTCCAGGCAGGAAGAGGAAGATGCTGCCGGCAGGGCCTAGCACATACCCAGCATGCCGATGCCCAGCATGAAGGCGTCCATCCCGTAGGGCATGACTCGGGATCTCCCTCGGGCTGAGCCCGTCGGTGACATCACTTCTTTTGGCTGAGCTTTCTTACATTCCACCTGCAATGAGACCTGGAGTCAGGCCCCCTGACCAGATGGTCCCTTCTGCCCTCTGGAGGGCCTGCCATCTACTTGATTTGGACTCCTGGCACCCCCAGGTGTCAGGGAAGAACCGTGCTCCATCGGATTTCAAGGTCTGGCTTTTCAGAAGTAGAATGCCAGGCTTCTCTTCCTAGCACATCCAGGTAGACTTGAACATCCAACCTTTTTATTTAATAGCCAAGTGCATCAACCAACTGTACCACTTACCCAGGGACTGGTGGCTTAGTAGTAAGGAGCTGCCTATCATCCTGAAGGTACGCAGTTCAAAACCACCACCTGCTCTGCAGGAGAAAGATAGGCACTCTCCTCTGGTGTGATTTATGGCCTCTGAAAACCCACTTGGAGGGTCAGCAATGAATCAGTTCTAACTCGACAGCACACAACACAATATTATGTATGAAATCATAGCCTTTGAGTGATTCTGACCCATGACAACTCAATATTGTGTTTTCAAGGCTGTAAATCAGACTGTGTAACTGATGGTAGATTGAAACTACTGACCGTTTGGTTCACAACGCAGCACCACTATTCACTATGCCTTCACTATGTATTTGCTCTTGTGTACCGTTTGTGGGTTCGAACCATAAGCCTTTGAGATTGCTGCACTACTTCCTACCACTAGGCCACCAGAGCTCCCTTCACTATGTTCTAAGCATTGCGTATATAGCTCTGCCTGCAATATTTCATGAAATGTTTACACTTATTCTTATGATTAAGTCACCCCCATTTTATACTGTCATTCCCATTTTACAGACCAGGAAACTCAGGCTCAGTGAAAGAAAAAAGTGATCCACCCAGGAATAAGTGGCTGAGTGGGGTTTTTAAACTAAAGGAAGTCTCTCAGAGTCACCAGCCATGCTGTAGGCCAATCTTGTGGTACAGCATCCCTGTGTAGAATTTTAGGGGGTGAGAGATCTGTCTGTGAGGGCCATGACCAGCTCCAGAAACTTCCAGACTCCTGGCTAGCTGAGCCGGAAACTGCAGTCCCTTTGCACCTTCGCCCCCATCCAATCCCAGCTCACCATTTTATTGTTGATTTCATGGAAATGGATTTCACACACTTTCTCCACGATGTCCTCACTCTCAAACGTCACAAAGCCAAACCCTGTAGGAAGGACAAGGTGCAAAGGGTCAGAACCTGGGATCAGGGCCACATAGCAGCCTCAGGTACCACCAACATCACCACCCTTCTCTGGTGGGTGAGGATTTAATGACAGGGTTGGCTGAGGGCCCTCTCTGACTACTAACTGAGCTGATGTTTTTAGTCCCAAATTACAGCTGAGAAAACCAAGGCTCAGCAAAGTGAAATGACCTGTCCATGTCACCCAGCGTGCCAGAAAGTGGCTAAGGTGGGATCATGAGCCCACTCAGAATCTTGGTAGACTGCCTGTTGCACAAATGTTCGTCTAAACTTACCCAGTATACCAAACCATGGAGACTTTCAAATCTACCTAGTGCCAGACACACTCAGGTACCCACGTATCAGATTCTCACTGCTGGGCCCCTCACATGTGACAGCTGCCCTGACATACCAGATGTGCACACACAAACAAGACACACTCATACAAACACATGCATGCACACAGAACATAGCCCACTTCCAAAAAGGGCTACAAGATGCAAAGTGCAAAATAACTAGACAAACCCCTTCACCTTCTCTGGGCTAGGTCCCAGTGGCTGGATTGGGATCTAAGAAGGCAAGTTCCTTGGAAGGGCAACCACCTAGCTGGGTGTCCACTGGTGTCCAGATGCGCACAGGTTTAGGGACAAGGGGCGGGCGCTAGGCTAAGCCTAGGGGGCTGTGTGACTGGTGGTGGCAGCAGTAGATTGCCCCAGACTGTGGAGTGAGCCTGGCTTGACCTGGTCAGAGCTCTGATTACCAGGGACAAGGGAGGCTGGGCAGACATCAAGCAGGGGAGGGCAGGGGTAGAGGGCTCAGTTTGGAGAGGGTGGGGGGAACTGCTCCTCTCGGGTGTCTGCAAGTTTCTAGCACAGGAAACAGGCAGGACAAAAGCCCTCTGTAAGGCCAGGCCCTGGAGAGGATGCAGGTCCTCGGGGATAGGATGTCAGGAGGCAAGATGAAAGGGCAGCTGTGACCTGCAGCCCCTGACTGACCACAGGCTCCTCCCCTCCTGCCAGCCCCGCTCGGCCTGGGCAGGGGGAGAGGCCACACTCACCTCGGTGCCGGTTGGTGGTTTTGTCAAACATCAGCATGGCATCGTCTACCTGAAACAGAGCCTGCCATAGAGGACCCACTGGATACCAGCAACACCCCCACCATGACACAGAAACAACTCCGTTCCCCTAAAATCCAGCCCAGACTTTACCCCAGGCCTGCTGCCTGTACAGGGGACAACTTTCTTTGTGCAACCCCAACTGGATGCCACAGCGCTCCCTGCTCTACCACAGGCTCGCTCATGAAGCTCCTACCACGTGCCTGGCACTGGGCCCCACCTGCTGTACCACAGCCTCCTCTCTCCGTTCAGGCAGAGAGTCCTAGTTTGTAGATCAAGGCTCAGAGAGGTGAAGTCACTTGCCCAAGGTCACACAGCAAGTCCTAGACCCAACAGGGAGAAAGAGGGGGTGCTAGAAGCGGAAGCATGGGAGCAAGATGAGAAAAATGGGGACACAAATGCCTTTCTCCTCTGCCCCAAAAGTCAGGCGGACAGCAGCCACTTCAGCCAGACCCAACTCTCCTCTCCTGGTTCAGATCCTTTCCTCTAATTGAGGTTTCCTTTTGCTGGAGGCTGTAATTAAAGCAAGTCGAGTTCAGTTCAGTGCCTGGGCTGCTGGCCTCCCACTGACTGGGGGAGGGGAAAGGACCGAGGCAGGGGGAGGATTCCATTACCAACCTCTCCGACCCCAGGCTTCTCTTCCAGCACCTCCCTCCAAGGCATCCCCTTAGATGGCTGGCTGGCCGGCCAGAGATTTAGCTTCTCCTCCCAGCCCTGCCTCCTTTCCTGGGCCCACAACTAGTGCTTCCTCCAGGCCCTCTTAATCCCTCAGCCAAGGTCAGGTGTTCCATGGGTTTAAGCTAAAGTCTGATTCACCCTCCTGACTCAAATGGCCAAGCTCCCAGGAAAAAAACCCTGGGGTCAGGGAGCTTCTCTCCAACTTTTCTTCGTTCTCTTTCCAGGCCTGTCAACTAACTTATTAAGAGGCCTCCCTTGCCTCATTCAACCAGAAGACCTTGAATGAGGGTGGTACTTTAGATTTCTTTAGGCTTCTAGCTTCTGACTCCCCCACCATTCCCCTCTCCCAGGAAAACCACATTCCCTTGAGTCAGGGCAGAGTGGAGGGGGGAAGGGGGGTGTCCCTGGAGAATCTCAAAGGGAGATGACACTGGCTTCCCCAAGGAGTTTCCTGTCCCAGGGACCTGAAGCCAAGGACCAGTTTCCTCCCTTCCAAGGACCCTTCCAAGGACCCAGCCTGAGTCCTAACACCAATACACAACATGGTCCAAAACAGACATTTAAGGCTCAGCAGTACTTGCCCGTTCCCTGCTTTACCCATGAAAAAGAGAAATACAGAAAGGAGGGCTGTGCTCTGAGCAGAGAAGGCCAAGTTGGTTGACCTGATTCCTGTACTTGCTGATGGGGTCATCTTGGGCAAATGATTTTATGCCTCTCTAACTTCAATTCCCTATCTATAAATAGAGCATGAGTGTGTCTTAATATTTTCAAAATTTTAGAATACATTTTATCTAACCTAATAAACCTCAGACATTCTCATTTAAACAAATCATGCCTATCTTCTTAACTAGCTGCCCTATGACCTTGCTCTACACATGGTGACGCATAGACCCTGTGTGCGTCAGAGTTAAGTTGGGTTCTGCAGGGTTTTCAGCGGCTGACATTTCCCCTCCCTTCCTGAGATCACCAGGCCTTTCTTCTGAGGCACCTAAGCTAAAGGAGGCTCCACTTGGCAGCTAAGTGCATTCTTAGTCCTTTTGCACCAGCCATGTTTCCATCTACCTCCTCTCTCTCATTGACCTGGAGTCAGAATCAACTCACAGCTGTCTCTCCAGCAGGTTTTCAGGAGGCTGTAAATTACTCGGGAGGAGATTATCCATTTTATCCCCACAGGGTCAAGGGTGGATTCAAACTGGCAGAGAAGCATCACCTTTAAGTTTAGCAGCACAACTCCCTACAGACTGCACTACCAGGGCCCCCTGTGAGATGATTGCAAGTCAATCTTTTTTTTTTTTTTTTGGCAAGTAAATCTCTTAACACAGTACCTGGGATGCAGTTTAATAAGGAATGGCAACGATTATCTGTATTATGGAGGGACGTGCCCATAGCCACGTGGCGGGGGTGGGGGGGGACACAGCAGAGCTGAAGAGCCAACCAAGACCACTGTCTCAGAGGGTTCCGTGAGGACAGCAGCCGTGTCATTTATGATCACCTTGACTTGCAAGAGGTGCACAATAATTAATTATCTCATGAATGAATGGAGCAACCAGCCACACCCTTCTCCCTAGTCAGCTTCTGGGAGCTCCTGCCTGACCCACAACTGCAGTCCAATCCCTGCTCCTGCCACATCTTCCTCCACTCAGTCAGCCATCCTTTGCCCTCCAGGACCCCTCAACCTGAGCCTCCTACTTTAGGACCCCAGGCTGCCAGGCCAGGAGTTGAAGCCAGGGCAGGGCTCAAGGAAAGTGGCTGGGAGTCCAGGGTCCCCCTGCTCGGGTCTCCCCTCCCTGGGGCCAGCTAAGGGGAGGGAGGCTACCGGCCCAGTGTCCTTAATAGGCTTTGGTCTCCATGGGAACCCGGGGGCAGGGGGACTCGGGCGGGGGGGAGGGGAGGCGGCTGAGGCTTGCTGACCAGTGGGAGCCGCCAAGTTCGGCGGCCGCTAAGCCTGAGTGGCAGCCATGGCGGCTGACCATTGTTCCCCCCTCGGCGGCGGCCCCTCGATCCGGGCGGGGGGGCCCCCTGCCGCGGGGCCCTTGGCATTCCCGGCTGTCCCCCTCGCTCCCTGGCAGCCTATTCTCCGGGCCGGTTTCACATGCCAACGCCGATTTAGGCCCGAACAAAAGACGCGGCCGCTGACGGCTTCTCCTGGGGCCCGGTTGTCATGGCAACGCCGGCCCCGGGGGCAGGCGGCCTCCAATCACAGCTGCTGGATCAGATTAGTGCGAGCTCTAATGCTCGGCGCTCAGACACAAAGACACCCCGCCGGAGCCGAGCGGGCCTGCTGCTTCCCAGGGGCGCCCTTCCCTCTGGGGCCCAGGCCGGGCCTGCCCTGCGCCCAGCACCAAGGTCCCCCACGGGGGGCGCGCGCGGGAGCCCCACACCCCAGCCTCCGCGGGCCAGGGGGACACCCTGCCTCCCTTCCACCCTGCACACAGGACGCTGCACACCCATCCCACTTCCCAACCCTCTTCCTCTTCGCCTTCTTCCACGGTGGGAAAGGGGAGACCCCGCCTCCTGCCCAACCCACTGATGAAGCAAAGTGACCCTCCTTCACCCCAGACCTACAGCAGGGTTCGCCTTTGCCCCAAGGGACCTGGTCTCCCTAGGCTCAACTTTCAAGGGCACCCTACGGCCAGGTTTTGTCACACCTCCTGTCTCTTCAGAGCCCCAGGGAGCCCCAGTGACCCAGAACCGAAAGCTTGGTGCACTTTAGCCAGGTGCTGGGCCTGACCAGTGTTTCAGGGATACTCTTTTTCAGTATCCTCTCAATAGTTGGGATCCAGTGCCTCCCCCGAAGCCCCCGACTGTGCAAGCAGGGTGCAGAGCACAAACAGGACTCCTATTTACCGCCTCCTTATCATGGTCAGGAGGAAGTGAGGTGGGGAAGGTGCAGCCGGCTGTGGCCTGGGCAGGTGCAAACTCCCAGGAGGCCCAGGGGTGGCCGGATCGAACTGGTAATGGGAGCACAGCCTCCCTCGGGAGAATGAAGATAAGGCAGAGAAAAACACAAGCGAGGGAACAACAGGGACAGCTTCTGTGTGGCTTCTTCCCCCTGGGACCTGTGTGGAGCCTCAGGCCCACATACAGGCTGGAGGCTGGATGGCGCCTTGGCCTGGCCTCACCTGCAGCAAGGCCCACCTCTGCTTTCATCCTTGCAGTGTGACCTGATGGGACTCTCGCTTTATACCCACCCATCACAGGGCCTCCTGACCCGAGCAAGCACCCCCCAAGCAAACACACACCTGCACCCACACACACACAAACACGAAGCAAACTCAGCTTGAACCAACCTTCCCGAACTGCTCAAAATATTGCTTCACGTCCTCCACCGTGGTGTTCACCGAGAGCCCCCCCACAAAGATCTTCTTCGTTCGAGTCACCATCTGTTAGGGGGAGGGAACGAGAAAGTGGGCATCTGAGGCCTGTGGCCTACTGCCACCAGCAGGGGCTCGGCCCCCCTGCCAGGATGCCAGCTGACAAGCTCTCTGTGGCCCCAGCCGCTCGGAAGGCCCCCCTCGAGTTTCCCCCCACACCCTGGACCCCTGCTTCTAGGCCTGTCATGGGCAGCTGTGCACCCCACACCCTGGCTGGTCTCCTGCCTGCCTACCTCCCAGGAGTCTGTGCCTAGAAAATGCTTTCCCTGAAAGACTAAGACCAGGAAATGGGGTGGTCAGCGACCCAGACCCATGGTGACTTGAAGGCCCCAAGCATTCCCCTTGGGGAACTCAAGGCTCATCCCAGGGTCTCCCTGAACTCAAGGCAGACATTTTCCTCACCACCCTCCTCCCAGCCCCACCTCTGGCAGCCCCTGAGCCCCGGCCCATGTTTTAGGAAGAACACATGGTCTTAATTACCCCAGGAGCGCATGGCTAATCCGTGGCAATTCCCAGCCCCATCCTAACACTAAAGCACCTTCTGTCACCAAACTGCTTAATGGAATTAACCCAATTCTGACCATGTGCTCCCTGGTGCGGCTTCCTTGGGATACCTGCTCTGTAATTGCTTTCAGGTCCTTGGCTGGATCCTTTCCAGAGGTGTCTCTTTCCTGTCTCCTCTAACTTGCTCCTTCACCACTTGCCCACAGCAGGAGCTGGGGGTGAGGGGCTTGTAAGAATTCACCTGGCTAAGAATCTTAAGGGACCCTTGCTCACCAACTCCCTCACAAACTGGGGAAAAAAACAGAGGTTTCTGGGAGAGGGGTCTCATCCTAGGACATAAACATCTGCAAACCCAGGAGTCCTGACTATAGCCAGCTTTCCCTCGGGCCCCTCTCTATCCGGCAGCTTGAAAATTCAAATCTGGCCAGTTGCCCCCCTGGAAGAAAATCTTAAGGCTCCTGTCCTCCATCAAAAGTGCTGTGTGCTCCACTGTCCAGAAATTAATCTCCTGTACCCCTCTGATCCCCTGAAAAATATACCTAGAATGCGAGGAGGAGGACACCTTTGAGGGGGAGCCGGAGCCACTTAAGTTGAAGGACAACAGGTGACAGGTTAAGCAGGACACAGTGGAAAGTGACACCGATTGCCAAGCTCTGGAGTTCCCTCTTTTGTGAGCCTGATGCGGCTCATCCCAGAGGTTGGAGAGTGACTGGGCATTCGCCCCTACCTCAATCAACCTCAGGGGGTAAGTCTGGCCTGCGTTTGACCCCAGAGGCTTTGGCCACAGAAGCTGTGATCTGTGAAGTCAGAATTAGCCTAGGATCCAAATTGCACTGGCTTTAAATACAGAACAATGAACTCTCCCCTCCCTCTGAGGGGCTCCCCTTTCTCCCAACACATGAAGCCCCTTCCTCACTCCATCCCAGAGCACAAGCCACAGAGCAAGGTAATCAGAAAGAGCTCCCCTTTCTCCCACCTAGACCACCCTGGAAACACTCCAAACAGAGGTTCCAGAAGCAGTTTCCTTAGGAGGAATGAATGCTGGGAAAATGACAGCCCAGAGTTCTCTCTGGTAACAGAGCTGTCTCCAGGCACGCACACACACACATACCTTAGGCTGAGCTCGTCGGGGAAAGGCCACCTTGGGGTCAATCTGAAAGAGAAAGGAGAGGTTGAAGAAGAAACTATGGTTATCATGCTTCAGATGGCTGATGCCCAGTGACTACAGAACCCAGGCCCGAGGGCCTCTCATCCCAGGACACAGAAGTGATAAAACCTGCCCTGAATCCCTAGCAGGAAAGGGTCATGGTTCAAGAGTCAGACTGCCTGGGTTCAAATTTCACCTGTACTGCTTCCTAGGTGTAAGACCGTGGGCAAGCTACTTAGCCTCTCTGAGCCTCAGGTTCAAGCTCACTGGCAAATGAGGCAAAGAAAATCCACCTCAAAGAGTGGCCTGCAAATGACTGGTCATGATGCATACAAAGCACTCGGTGTGGAGTGTGGCTCACAGCAAGAACTCGAAAGTCTCAGTTCTTTACAGGTACATGAGCAGCAGTCTCTGCCTACGTAAGCCTCACAGTTCAGACTTATGAAGCCTGGCAAATGGGGAAAACCCCCCACAAAACACTGCAAGATGAGGCTGCTGCCCAGAGGAATCTCAGTTCTGTGTCCCCAATACCAGCCACTGCTCGGCCTGATGCTTCAAGCTAACCATCCCGTGATAATGCAGCTTGGGGTGAAGCTAAGGGCAGACTTTGGTGGCGCGCAAGGGCATGGGCTGGGACTCAGCAACCTTGGGCACCTGGCCAAGCCTGTGATCTTGGGAACTCGCTGGAGCCCTCTGAGCCTCAGTTCCCTCATCTGCAAAGTGGGGATAATCACACCCACTCTTCCCAGAGGCAGCTGCAGGCCCGGGAGATAAGATAGGTGAAATCGGCCTTTTGTGAACTTCCCTGCACTACACAAACAAAGGTGCTATTACCAGTGGGCCACCTTTGCCCTGGCTGTGAACAATCAGAGGGGGACAAAAAAAAAAATCAAGACACTTGCCTGGCTCCTGGAACTTGGGGCAGAGTTTACACTAGAACACGCTTGTTATTGTTGGAGCTGGGTACCCCTGGGTACTACGCCCATACCAGCAAACAGCAAATGCCAGGGCAGGCGACACTGGGATCAAAGCAGGACCGAAGAGGCTGGTCATTCCAGAGTTTCTTGCCACCCACATGGGCTGGACATCACACTGAAGTTCACCAGCCAATCGCAGGAAAGATCCATCTTTTCCCAAAGTTCTTTCCGTTCAAAAAACTCAGCCTCGTTCTAGGCAACTGGCTCAGACGCTTCACTCTCCTGAATGGCAGGAACCAGCCAGGATCCATCCATCCACAGAGACGGAACTTCTAGGAGCCACACACAGGGGAGCATACCTCCTCCTACCCTGAGTCCAGCTGGGCTGCTGGGGTGTGTGTGTGTGTGAATATCACAGGAACCCATTTCCCTGACTAGAGTTGTGACTGTATCTCAGCCCTTTCAGCCTATTTCTTCCAGAAGCAGCCTCCTCAGCCCCCAGCACTCACTCTTAACACAGACTTCCTGCATAAACCCTGACAGAGATCTTCCAGACTGTCCCCAAGCCACCGTCCACACACCCCCCCATTCCAGACACACATCACCTGCGCTCTGACTCACTGTTGGCAACATAAATAAACTCAACAAGTAAATAAAAGGTAAAAGTCAGAACCCAAAATAGACTCTCCAGGGTCAGCCTTCCTCTCCCTGGCCTTAAGAGGCCAAACACACACAAAGCCATTGCCCTCTCCTGTCACCTCACCCTTTTTTCTCCCTGCTTTGCCTCTGTCCTCTTAGCTATCTCTTACTCCTCCGCTCCACCACCCCACCTCAGCCCCTAAATCTGGGCTTCTAGTGCATTCTGAGGACAGGGGATGGTAGCCGAACAGGCAGCTTGATGGCAGATAATCACCCCAAACAATGGGCCACTGTCTCTCCACTCCCAGGTCACTTGGGCTGTGCCAAGAGCCTTTCAGAGCCGGCAAAGTTGAGGCCTCATTTGCTCGTTACTGTGAGCAGGAGTCGGAGCCACTGGGCAGAGATAACAGAAGTTGGGGACAGGCAGTAATTTAACAAATTCTTGGGCACAACCAGCTATTGTTGCAGGTAAACAGGACCCAAGCAGGGAGGCCCAGGGCTCAGGGAGGCTCAGGGCGCGTGGGGGAGTGCAGAGAGGGGAGAGCAGATTGTACTGTCTCAGACAGAGTGACACCCCCTTCACCCAGACACCCCTCCTGTCTTCCTCCTTTGCCCTCTTTTCCTCAAGCAGGGGGTCACAGCCAGCGCCCCCTGCAGGGCCCAGGACCTAGAGGAGCAGCAGCAAAATGTTCCAGGAGTTTGAAGGCCAAACACGCCACGTTTTGCTAAGAGCTAGCAGGTCCTCAGGGGGGGTCGGCAAGGGCGGTTTCCAAGCAAGCTAGCTCCCTTCCCATAAATCCCTGGGAGGGTAAAGCGGGTCCCAGGCTCCCACACAAAGCAGGAACAGCACTGACCAAAAGTGGAGATGTAGAACCGAGGGGGGGTTCACTCATGCTTTGTCATTGGTCTGAATTAGGGGTGAAGGGTCTTGAGCCCAATACTAGTTCAGAGTTCAAGAGAAGCCACTGGCTGTTTGGCTGTAGCCCTGACCCACCCCATCTGGGCGAGGGGAGGGACCCAGCCCCCAGCCCCCAGCCCCCAGCCCCACCCTAAGCTCACTCAGAGGCATCCCCATTAGCACTTGGAGGGAGGGGCAGGAGCTGCCCCTGATCTCACTAGTCCTGGGGGGTGATGGAGCATGACACAGAAGGCCTGGGGGTTTCCTCCTCCCTCTGCCCCCAACTCTAGTGACAAAGTTTCAGAGCATGGCAGCCTCCTCTCCTCTCTCAAGCACACTGTCCAGCTGTCCCCCACGGAGAGTGCTGACCCTGTCCTCCTCTCACGGCCTCCTTCTCTCAGAGGACCCCCACCCAGCCCTCCCAGCCCCGAGGGCCACTCACTGTTTTGGAGTCGAGCTCGTGCCGCGACTGCGCCAGCACTTTATCCACCCCCGCCTGGTCCATGAAAGTGACGAAGCCGAAACCCCTGCGCGGTAGCGAGCAAGAGGCAGATGGTTACAGGGCAGCGAGTGGCGGATGGTGGGGGGGCCAGCCGGCAGCAGGAGGAGGGGGTGCGGGGCTCACCTGGATCTTTTGGTCAGGGGGTCCCGCATCACCAGACACTCCTTCACCTCCCCGAACTGGCCGAAGTACTCGCGCAGCCCTTCTGTAACCACACACTCGTCTTCGGACCAGCTCGAGCCCCGGTGCCCTTCCCCCCGCCCCCTGTGTCCTTTGCCCCCTGTGACCCCAAAGCGGCCCAGCCGCCCCCGCGCCCAGCTGCCCGCGCCCTCCGCTGTCCCCTCTGCCCTCAGCCGGTTCCAGCGGAGGCTCCGCACGCCCACCCGGGCCCCAGGAAGCCCAGGGCCGAGCAGGGCTGGAGGGGGTACTGCTCCGGCCGGGTTCCCGCCGCTCGGGGAGCCGCCTCACAAAAGTTTGAGCCGCAGGTGCGAGCGGAGTTGGCGCTGCCACCGGCGGGTCCCGGGGGCCCAGCCCACCCCCCCCACGGCCCCTGAACCCCTCATCTGCTCCTCTCCACCCCTGGGGCCGTGCGCTCTCGCCAACTGCCCTGCGCTCTCGGGTTCCCTGGGCGGGTCGTGATAGAGGGCGCGGGGAGCGCCCGGGGTCAGCAGGGCGCAGGGCCTGGCTGGGGGGGTCCGGTTCAGGGGCCTTAGGGGGGTCCAGGGTGCCCAGCTGGGCCGGCGGGTGCTCCCAGGCTTGCTCACCCTGCGTAGTCTGCCAACTGAGTCCCCCGATGAACATCTTGCTGCGGGAGGAGGAGAGACACAAAGGGCCCGCGTGAGCGCCGGGCGCCAGGGAGCAGGGGGCGCGG